ATGGCAGCTGGTGTAAGGTATGGGTAGAGTAAGCAGCTGGTGTAAGGTAAGGGTAAGGTATGGCAGCTGGTGTGGTGAAGGGTAAGTAAGGCAGCTGGTGTAAGGTAAGGGTAAGGTATGGCAGCTGGTGTAGTGAAGGTAAGGCAGCTGGTAAGGTATGGGAGACAGCTGTGTAAGGTAAGGGTAAGGTATGGCAGCTGGTGTGTAAGGTAAGGGTGGACAGCCATGTATGTAAGGGTAAGGTATGGCAGCTGGTGAGTAAGGAAGGTATGCAGCGAGTAAGGTAAGGCAGCTGGTATGTAAGGGTAAGGCATACAGCTGGTGTAAGGTATGCAAGGTACAGCTGGTGTAAGGTAAGGGCAAGGTATGGCAGCTGGTGTAAGGCAAGGGTATGGCAGCTGGTGTAAGGTAAGGGTAAGGTATGGCAGCTGGTGTAAGGTATGGGTAAGGCATGGCAGCTGGTGTAGTAAGGGTAAGGACAAGTGTAAGGTAAGGGTAAGGTATGGCAGCTGGTGTAAGGTAAGGGGTGGGTATGGCAGCTGGTGTATGTAGGCAAGGTAAGCTGTGTATATGTGTATGCAGCTGGTGTGTAAGGTATAAGGGATGGCAGCTGGTGTAAGGTAGGGTAAGGGAAGGCAGCTGGTGTATGAGAAGGTAAGCACGTAAGGGTAAGGTATGGCAGCAGCTGTAAGGTAAGGGTAAGGTATGGCAGCTGGTGTAAGGTAAGGGTAAGGCATGGCAGGTGGGTAAGGGTAAGGTAAGGCAGCTGGTGTAAGGCAGGCAAGGTATGGCAGCTGGTGTGTATGGGGTAAGGCATGACAGCTGGTAAGGTAAGGGAAGGCATGGCAGCTGTGTATGTAAGGAAGGTATGGCAGCTGGTGTAAGGTATGGGGTAAGGCATGGCAGCTGGTGTAAGGTATGGGGTATGTATGTACAGCTGGTGTCAGTAAGGGTAAGGTATGCAGCTAGGTGGTGTATGAGGTAAGGCAGTGGTGGCGTAGCATGGCAGCTGGTGTAAGGTAAGGGTAAGGCATGACAGCTGGTGTAAGGTATGGGTACAGTACAGCTGGTGTAAGGTAAGGGTAAGGTATGGCAGCTGGGTAAGGTAAGGGTATGTATGGCAGCTGGTGTAAGGTATAAGGAAAGGGTATGTATGGCAGCTGGTAAGGTATGGGTAAGGTATGGCAGCTGGTGTAAGGTAAGGGTGGTATGGCAGCTGGTGTAAGGTAAGGGTATAGCAGCGGTGTAAGGTAAGGGTAAGGTATGGCAGCTGGTAAGGTAAGGGTAAGGTATGGCAGCTGGTGTAAGGTAAGGTAAGGTATGGCAGCTGGTAAGGTAAGGGTAGAGTAAGGCAGCTGGTGTAAGGTAAGGGGTAAGGTATGGCAGCTGGTAAGGGGGTAAGGTATGGCAGCTGGTATAAGGTAAGGGTATGATGCAGTTGGTGGAGAACGGAGTGTAGACAAAAATAGATGAACTTATTATATTCCTGAAGAATAAACAATAAAAACAAATGGCCTGCAACGGAAAACAAGTAAACAAAACAAAAACAAGTCAGTAAATAAACGGATAAACAACAAAAACTATATATATATATATAAACAATAGAAACAATTAATAACTAAACCAAATTAAGGTAAACAAATAAACAAGTAAATTGTAGGTGGCACGAGGTTCTGGCCTGCGTGAAATAAGAGGAAGGTTCAGTGACGGGTGGTGGTGGAGAGGTTGGGGCGCCTCAACCAGCGTGTCACCAGCAATCGTCTTCCTCCTTCTCAGTATCTATTTGGATGTGTGAGTGGTGTGGTGATGCAGGTCTGGTCTAGGCTAGGGTCACCCTTGTGTGTGTGGAGGTATTGGTGGTGGTGAGGGGGGCGGT